ATGATCAACTGCACAGTTACACTCCATGTCGACAAATGAATTACGAAGGATGTCATTATTTGTTGCGATCGTCCAGGGTTTCTTGATAGGCAAGTTGTTACGGTTGCGTAGGTTAAAACGACAACCATCGAAGGATACGGTTAGCAGGTTGTGTTCATCAAGGAACCTTCTGACCTTGGGCAGTCTCCAGTAGGTGCACCCTTTCGGCCATTCGATTGCTATTGTGATTGGTTCATCAATGCTTTCGAGTGTGGCCACGAAGGATTTCCATAGCTTGTTGAACTCTCGGACATGCTTCCGAATTCTAGCTTTACCAGATGGCATTTGCTTGTTCACGTATTGCCATGGGGAACCCCCCGTGCACGGGAGACTGGCCCAAATCATTATGTCATTTGGCTTGTGTGTTCTGAGGAATTTCTTTACTGTGGTTTTGATGCGTCTCTGACAGGCTGGGCTGTTCAGGTTGTCCTTTTCAGTAACCCTCATGACTTTGCATCCTAATGCAGCCTTTCTTGACATGTCACCAAGCTTTGATTCGTCACTGCAACACAGTTCGACAAGTAGTCTCTGGGCTTCAGGCTCGGCTGCAGGTTCCCCTGAGCTGTTCTGGGCGATGGCGGCATTTCGAGCGGGAGCACGGAGGCCGATTGCCATGAGCCTAACAGCCTTCTTCCACTTCTCAGCATTGGTGAACGGTTTTGTCAAGATATCGGCCGCTTGCAAGACTGTCGGCCCGTGCACTAGTCGAAACCACTTACGCTTAAATTGTTCTGCCAACCAGGATAAATTGACCCTTTGTGTTTTGTCTGTGCGACGAAACGACGGAGATTTTCCGGACTCTAAAATTCGGATTGTAGCTTGATTATCTTCCACGAAAACACCTTGAATGGAGCTCGGTGAGAACATGCTGACTAGCATCGACCCTTCACGCTCCGCCCCAAGGAATTCCCAATCCGTGAGAGCCTCTCGGATCTCCTGGCCTTCAACCCGGTAGTCCGCATCATTCGGACCATACACCCTAAACATCGTTCGTCCAGTCCATGGTTCTCCCATTGGGTATTCCCCCCGTATTCTCCAGTTGTCTTGGATTAGATCAAGGGGTTTTCCTTTTCGTGACATAATGGTTGTTCTGGCCATTCCTAATCGTTCAACGGGAATGAAACAGTCTTTGTCCACGGACCACAAGGACGGGTTAACTTAGCTCATGTTGTTTTGTTTACAAATCATACATATTCTACTTACCGTGAACTTATCTCGTGAGATTTAAGCTGATTTATAGGTTGACTTATAAGTTAGTGTAAGTTTGACAAGCGTTTTTGGAAAAGTTTATTTTTGCAAGTTTTTTTTGATTTTCACGTTTTTCAAGTTTTTCTAGGTTTTTGTCAATAATTTTTTATCATTTTTCAAAAAACCTATATTTTTGCGCATTTTTGGAATGGCGTCAGAAAACCTTTGTTTTCTATAGTATACAGCGGGCACACCGCCACGTCTTCAACCTTCTGCTATTGAATGAACGCTCTATACCACATGCCAAGACTGAAGTATTGGTTGCTACACATGCCACAAGCAATCCTACAGCGGAGGAACCGCCAACAATCCTACAGCGGAGGTATACCGCCGAATTGAACCTACAGCGGAGACACCGCCCTCAACAAGACAGCAAGACCTACAGCGGACGCACCGCCTCCACAGGAAGAATCTGTCACAGGAAGATGTCTGAGTCTATATACATTATATATATATATTAACATATGTAAATATTTGTGCTCCACAGGAAGTATACCGTTTTTCGAAAATTGACTTGGACCCTCCATCCCAAAAAAGACCCGACTACATCTGACTACACCCCGACTACATTCTGACTACATACGTCATCAGAACGAAGTCAGGCCCGACAACATTCTGACTACATACGTCATCAGAACGAAGTCAGGCCCGACTACATTCTGACTACATACGTCGTCAGAACGAAGTCAGGCCCGACTACATTCTGACTACATACGTCGTCAG